TTCGGCTAGCCTTTCTCACTACCCTTCGGCTAGCCTTTCTCACTACCCTTTGGCTAGCCTTTCTCACTACCCTTTGGCTAGCCTTCTCACTGCCCTTCAGCTAGCCTTCTCACTACCCTTCAGCTAGCCTTCTCACTACCTTTTATCGAGCCTTCTCACTGCCCTTCGACTAGCCTTTCTCACTACCCTTCGACTAGCCTTTCTCACTACCCTTCGACTAGCCTTTCTCACTACCCTTCGACTAGCCTTTCTCACTACCCTTCGACTAGCCTTTCTCACTACCCTTCGACTAGTCTTTCTCATTACCCTTCGACTAGCCTTCTCACTACCCTTCAGCTAGCCTTCTCACTACCCTTCAGCTAGCCTTCTCACTACCCTTCTGCTAGCCTTCTCACTACCTTTATCAAGCCTTCTAACTGCCCTTCGGCTAGCCTTCTCACTACCCTTCAGCTAGCCTTCTCACTACCCCTCGGCTAGCCTTCTCACTACCCTTCGGCTAGCCTTCTCACTACCCTTCAGCTAGCCTTCTCACTACCCTTCAGCTAGCCTTCTCACTGCTTTTCAGCTAGCCTTCTCACTACCGTTCAGCTAGCATTCTCACTACGCTTCAGCTAGCCTTCTCACTACCTTTCAGCTAGCTTTTTCTGTACACTTCAGCTAGCTTTCTCACTACCCTTCAGCTAGCCTTCTCACTACCCTTCAGCTAGCCTTCTCACTGCCCTTTCAGGTAGCCTTCTCACTACCCTTCAGCTAGCCTTCTCGCTACCCTTCAGCTAGCCTTCTCGCTACCCTTCAGCTAGCTTTCTCGCTACCCTTCAGCTAGCTTTCTCACTACCTTCCAGCTAGCCTTCTCACTACCCTTCAGCTAGCCTTCTCACTACCCTTCAGCTAGCCTTCTCACTACCCTTCAGCTAGCCTTCTCACTACCCTTCAGCTAGCCTTCTCACTACCCTTCAGCTAGCCTTCTCACTACCCTTCAGCTAGCCTTCTCACTACCCTTCAGCTAGCCTTCTCACTACCCTTCAGCTAGCCTTCTCACTACCTTTAAGCTAGCCTTCTCACTACCCTTCAGCTAGCTTTCTCACTACTCTTCATTGCTTATTTAAATATTTCTGGTATATGCAGGCATTCCGAAGATTATGTACTGGAAGCCTTCTTTAAGCAGTTTATTGCTAGCAATGACTGCCTTCTGAAGGCTCAGAAAAGGCATTCCAGTTTGATAAAAAGATAGCATTCTTTGGCTGGCACAAGCAGTATCTATTAAAATTACATCTCTATTAGCAGATATATACCATATTTGCTCTACCTCTGTTATTCACGTAAGCACATTGGCTACTGATAGAACAAATAAACTAGTGTATAAAATGTTACGTTCACCAATTGGGAGGGGTATTTCTGAATTGATCTTTTATTATGTAACCAGACTTATAAAAGTCAAGTGTTCTGCGTATGTCTCGATAACGACTGACATTTGAATATACAATTTACTTTAATACAATATTTATCCGGTTTCTATGTATAGGTAGTTGTTCAGGAAGTGAATTTTACTGTCTTGAAGGACGATGCATTGATAACGACAAAGTATGTAATTTCATTACTGATTGTCTGTACGACAGTGATGAAGCACTGTGTGGTAAGTATAATGATTGGTTGCGTGCATGTATTTCCCCGGCGGCTATATTATGATCAATGTGTACATCTTTTGCAATGATGAATCTGTATAAGCACTTGTTCCTCCCTCGGGGATTGAAAAGTTCTGTTCGTTTTCCGCTCAGTTAAGCTTTATGAAAATGACATAAAAAAAATGTTCCTTTTTAAAAAAAAAAAATGTTAAGGATTTTACATGCTTGAGTTACTAATAGATTCTGCTCATCTGAACGTTTACTATTGAAGGCTACACGATGACACTCCAGAGATGTCGTAGCTTATGCCTGTCAGATTAGTTTTCTTGAGATGAATATTATTGGAATTAATATAAACTAAATTAATGATTTAATTCAGCTCTGTCAGCTGTCACTGACATGAGTCTTGCTAAAATAAGATGCGTCTGGTCTGATTCAGCTGGACACAGATGCCAATGTGATATCATGCTGTCAGCTATTAATTCACACTCTACAACATTCTTGGAAGATTCCATTTATCTGTGGGGGCCCAAATTGAACTCATTTAGTGTAAATTGAGATGTACATGTTAACATTTTTCTTTTCTTTTCTTTTTTTGAAAGGTTCCGATTGTAACTTTGAAAACACCACCTGCAATTGGGAGATGCCATTATCTGAGCTGGGGGTAGTAGGTTGGAGGATGGCGAAAGCGATGGACATGGTCCCGTATAGTGCGCCTAGCACAGATTACTCTGAGGGGAGCCTTGAAGGTAGGAATAAAAAATTATTTGTGATTATGAAATGATAAATTTATGGAGCATTTGAACATGTGTCAGTCGGGGTATATATTATAATTTCTATTGGTGCATAATGTTGTA